TCGAATTCCTTTGTCAAGTATTGAACCGATTTATAATACTTCTTTAAGGATGTGTGTGAACCGACTTATAATACTTATTACATAAGTGATCTCTAATCTTGTGTAATATATGTATATTAGTCTCCTAACTAATCTCTAATACATCTTATTTATTGGTGTATCTTCTTCTGTCACTCCTAATTTATTATTGGGATACATGTCAGTTTGTCGATATCTTTTATCAGGTCATAAATATATTTCTACTAAAAAATGAAGATCCTAAATTTTGAACGTGCGACTTCAAGTCTAAGGAAATATTTCAATTTACGTAGTTCATTGATTTCGAATTCTCTTCTCATGTATTTTTTTAAAATAAAAATATGTACATTACGTATATGACACCAAAGGAGTGTCACCCCCATACAAAATTATTTAGAATATTTAAAATCCTCCCAAAATCATCCCACCCATACACATCATGACCCAGAATTAGAGACCCAAAAGAGTGAAATCATTTATCTCTAATTCTTCCAATATCTCTCACACACCCATCGAATACTCTATTATTCCTCTCTAATTCGTGTCATGTATCATTTTAGCATCCATTGTTCTTTCTCATCATCTCCTATTATAATAATGTCATTAACATATGCTAAGAGATTTGTAACTCCTTTGTGTGTCAAATCATACTCTTGGGGGTTGCTTAAGTCCCTAGAGTGTTTTCTTTAGTTTACACGATATTTAGTCTTGTAGGATCTCTAGGTAGATTTTTTCCTCAAACTTTTCGTGCAGAAAGGCATTCTTGACATCAAAATGTTACAATTTCCAACGAAAAAGAGTAGCTATGTGTGAATGTTTATCTTGACACTGAAGTGTTACAAGATCCACATTGCGTTTATCTCGGCTACTTGTGCGAACGTTTCTTAATAGTCTATCCGACAAGTCTGTGTATAACCATTTGCTACCGGTGTTACTTTATATCTCTCGATTGTCTAATCTGCCTTATATTTGATTGTAAACACCCACTTGCATCCCACAGACTTTTACCTTTTGGTAGGTCCACTACTTCCCTTATCTAGTCTTTTTTTAGTGTTTGCATTTCCATATTCATGATGTTTTTCATTTTTCACAAGATAAGTCCACCACCAATCTTACTTCATATCTTTCATTTGTTCTATTTGCCTTATATTTAATTGTGAACACCCACTTGCACTCAATAGGATTTTTTTTCTAGGCAGTTCCACCACTTCTCATGTCTAGTCCTTCTCTGTTGTCTGTATTTTCGTACTTATAATATTTTTTCATTTTTCACAGAATAAAGTCTTACATACAATGTTAGGAACATACTCAAATTTCAAATTTGTAAGGAAATTTTTATAAGAGTGTATACACTTAGTAAATGACAAAAATTGTGATATAGGACAAAGAAAGCTTTACGAAGTGCAGTAGGAATATCATTATCAAAATGCATAGATTTTCGGAGCTTACCTCATTTTCAAAATCAAGGTTAGATAATTAAACCAGTTTAGGCTTAGAACTTAGATTCTTCTTCGTTGTATACATCTCAGTGAACCTAAGGTCATTTATGATCTCTTAAGTAGATGAATTTTCTAATAAGATCTCTTAAGTTGGAAATTTTTCTTGTGGGTTCTGGGGTTGGAGTATGTGGCAAAGGTGGTAAGGTAAAGTCAATCAAGAAATCTATATCTTTATCTTTCAATATAAACTTCCTCTTAATATAAGGTTGGCAAAATATGACTCTTATTCAACAAATGTGAAATCTACGAATAAATAAAATTTTTGTTTGAGTGGATGGTAACACTTGTACTTCTTTTTAAACGTGAAGTACCTCACAAACGCATATTTCAGGACTCAAGGATCAAGTTTTTCTCTTTCATGAAAATGAACATACAAACGAACACGATACACCCAAACATCCGACAGACTAGATGGTTTGCGATACTTCTAAGTAAAACTTGAAGAATGCTTATAGAGGGCTTTTGAAATCTAGAACATTAGAGGATAAGCAATTAGTGATATAGGTGGTTGTAAGGACTACTTCACCCCAATACTATTTTAGAACGTAGTTTTGGAAGATGAAGGCTCTAGCAGTGGCTAAAAGGTGATTATTCTTGCATTCTGCTATTCCGTTTTTTTTGTGAAGCATGAACGCAAGATAATTTATGGAGAATCCTTTCTTGATGGAAGAATGATAAAAATGTATTATTAAAAAAAAAATTTGGCGTTGTTAGTATGAAATCATTTTATGAGGATTCCAAATAAAGCTTTTAACATGTTGCGAATTGGATATTGTATTACTAACATCGGATTTGGCTTTGAGCAAGAAAAGTTAAGTTACTCTAATGCAATTATCAATAAATGATACAAACTAACGAGTCTTAGAAA